TATTAGATAAATAACTTTAAATTCAGGCTCTACAACATACTGGCTACATGACCTTGGCTACTTAGGAATATAATAGCCTCTCTTCACTTTAGTTAGCTTCTTCATCTGTAAAATGAGAATAGAGTAGTATTTATCATTCATGTAGCAATATTCTTTAAAATACATAAGTAGTATCATATACACAGGTGTGTATATAAGCATGTACATCAGTTTTCATCCTCATCCTTAGTACACTTAGCTCACTTTTGAAATTGTTAATCTGTAATCCATAATACAGAGAATTTGTTAATCAACATTCATCAGAATAATTTTTCATTGGGGAAATACATTGTGTCCACGATATGAGTTTGACTAGAAATTATGTGCATATTGCTCTCCCTTTGAAGGCATAAAATAAAAGAATATGGAAAACCCAGAGTCTATTCTTTTAGAGCAGTGGTCTCCAGTCTTTCTGGAACCAGGGACCAGTTTCATGGAAGACAAATTTTCCATGGATTGGGGACCTGGGGGGATGGAGGTGGAGCTCAGATGGTGATGCGAGTGATGGGGAGCAGCTGTAAATACAGATTAAGCTTCCTTGTCAGCCAGCACTCACCTCCTGCTGTGCAGCCTCGTTCCTAAAAGGCCACTGACTGGTACCAGTCCAAGGCCAGGAGATGGGTTGAGGCGAGGCTTGGGAACCACATTTTAAAGGATCAACACCTCCAGGTCTGAAACTCTCTGTAGTCCTGTGTCTTCCACTTTATGGAATAATCCTGACCCAGCTAAATGGTTGGCTGTTTCTCCCTTCAGAATATCACTGATTCTAGAACTGATAATCAGTGGGTACATTATAGTACAGTCCTCTTGGTTCTTTACAGGCAGGGAAACTTCTGATTAGGTCATCATTCATTCTTAGTGGTAGATACCCATGCCATACTGGCTGTTGCTTAATTTTGAATTGTATGAATTCTGCTCAGGCCTATCTTGGAGCAAATGTTTTATTGTGTTTGTCAAAATGCCTGACAATAGAGAGTGGGGATTTACCTGAGTTTATAACACATTGCATAGTTGCTTTTTTGCCCTATCTTACAAATAAATGTTTGTATTTATATATTTTTCAGATTTTGGTCTAACAGCTTGCATTTATTCTAATGTATGCATTGTAATGAAGTTCTCTAAATTTCAGAAATACTTGCACATGTGAAAGAAAGATATAAATACAGAGATGAATCAACTTAAACTACCTTCCAAACTCTGGGAACATACAGCATCCCAGTTAAATAAAAGTGGCTTCTCTTCTGTCCCCCCACTCTCACCCCTTTTTTGTCTAAAACTCCAGCTAGCAAGTTAGGCTTGGAGAAAGGAAAAAGGATGGGAAACTGAAGGCAACAAGACACCATTTCCTGAGGGCACGCAGCTGCCAACTACAGTCCCTTACTTGAGTAAAGTAAAACGAAGTCTGAATTTTAGTGAACACTGAAGTACTACTTAATATATCAAGCTGAACACAATTTCATCACTGTATCCAGAGCAGATTTTTGTGACTTTAAGTATCTATAGACTCTCTGTTACCTAAGGGAGAATGGGAAAATCATGGGATCTGTCCAACTTTCCATTGAGAGCCACATTAATTTTACTCATTGAATACTTTTTAAAGGGAAAGAGGGAAACAAAAATAAAATTTTGTTTTAATCTTATCATGAATCATTTTTATTCAATGTGCTAGTTATAAAAATATTTCCATATTATAAATATTGAGTTTATCATAGATAAAAATATTGTACCAAGATTATGTTTCTTCTTCTTAGCATTAATATAAGCAGTGTGATTGCAGTGACTCAACTCTGGTATATATAATCACAAAATGGTTTTATTTTCCCACTAACTGCTATCATCTGTATTCTGTTAAAACCCCCTCTATTCCATCCATTATATATAAAGAATCCTTAATGTCGTCTCTAAATCTATAACACTTTCAGTCATTTCCAGTTATTAAAACAACTTCATTATACTAAAACTTAGCCACACATTTTTTAAAGCTACAATCTCCAAGTTCTCCCTCTCTCATAGATGCTTCAGTGAGAGTTGAGAAGGGCAGTCATTTGTCTCACAGATTTTCTCCATCCTTCTTCCCCATAGTTTCTCTAAATAGACTACTATTCCCTCTCTGTTGAACATCACTGCTGATCTATAAACTGAGCAAGGGTTAGGGCCAGCTGACCTTGACTGAGTGATTTAATAGCAAGTAGCTATTATAACAGTTGGTGGTCCCTTTCTGGGGGAGATTACATCTTTCTATTGTTCCCAAATTGCAGACATCCACAGAATTTCTGAGGCAAGGACCTCTTTACTGCTCAGTGTGATGGCCTCTGGCAAGCCTGCAACCTCCAATCTTGTTAACACTTTGTAGTCAAATATAGAGGTGGTCTTGAGGCCTGGACCTCAAAGGTTCAGTCCTTACAGTCTTCACATGGTTATACCATCACCCTCACCTCTCGCCAATGCTTTACCCCAGAGTTTGCAAACTTTTACTGTTAAAAAGTCAGATAGTAAATATCTTAGGCTTTGCAAATGCATACTATATGGTGTCCGTCAACTACTCACCTCTACTATTGTGGCTCCAGAGCAGCCACAGATGACAGACAACTGAATGTGCATGAGTGTTCCATAAACTTTATTCATGGACACTGAAATCTGAATTTCATATTATTTCAAGTCACAAAAATAGAACTCTTCTTCTACTTTTTCCAATCATTTAAAAATGTAAAAATCATTCTTAGCCTACAGTCATACCAAAACAGGTCGGAGGGTGGGGGATGGTGGTGCAGATTTTGCCTGCTACTTTTGTTTGCCAGTCTTCTCTATTTCAACCTTGTAACTCCATGGTCAAGGAAGCAAGCCCATGTCTAAATCAACATCCAACCTTGCAGTGAAATACCTACCTCCCCTTCCAGCAGTTAACCCCAAACCTTATGAGTGACTCTCCTTAGAGAACCCCTCCTCACCAATGTCAGTGAAGAGACTTAGTTCAGTGCCTCCTCCCCTCTCCTATGGGAAAGATGGAGGAGATGGTTTCTAAGAACAGTACACTCTTCCCTACTATCACAATGTCCCAGGACCGCTCTTACATATCACAATAGTAAAAGCCACAAAAACAGCGCAATACTTCTCAAACTCCAAAGGCAGGCCCTTTTTGATTGGGCCCTGGAGAATTTAACAATTCCTGTATAATTCAATAAACTTCAGGATAACTAAAACTGAATCAGTACTTCATATTACTGTTACATAATTTTAAAATCAGAAACATTGAGGCTTTTACTTTTTCTTTAAAAATATTAATTTTTTTCCCCCAAGCAGAGCCCTCAATTGAACTTTTCAGGTAGCTTAACATTGATGTTTTAAATAAGGTAAGATAATAAAACACCAGTGTCCTGATTCCTTTACTATCTCTGAGAGTCACAGAAATCAAATGACCTGGGAACCATTTACCACCTGAATGGCTGGTGTCCTTCTCAGATGATTGCCTGCAAGCATTTACTGCTGCAACCAGTAGGGCAGCTGCTGGTGGTCCATGGAATATCATTGGGTTCTCTCGATAATCTATTAATAATATACTTTCTTCAAGGCAAAACAAGGAACAGAACTCCTAAGTTAAAACACTGATCGTGTTGTTCATCAAACTACATCTCCACAAGCTTCAGCAGCATCAGTTAGCAACAGGATAATTTTTTCCCCAAGATTTTCATGGACACTTAAAGGATCTCAGCATAGTTTCAAGGGTAAAGAATATTCAGTATATCAAAATTTGGTATGAGTCCATTTTACTTGAAGAACTGTAGACATAAATCTCACCTGCTATTTCTTCTCTCTGAAGCTGATAGCCACTGGTTGTTAACTTGGGGAACAGAAACTTTGCAGGATTCTAAAGGCTTCCTCACCTTCCTACAAAAAATATAATTTCTGGTGGTCTTGGAGATTCCGTTAAACATTAAAAAAAAACAAACAAACAAAAATTCTCTGATCTACTATCATTATTAAGGTGTGTTTATGCATATTTGGTTGGAAACTGACTTTTGTACTCCCACATTCATGTAATAAAAGCTGAAAACTTTTATGCATACCCAGTAATGCACACCCAAATTATGACAAACAATTTTGTGTATTTTATCTATTTTACTGTGTTTCTGAATCAGTGTTATCTCTCTGTAAGGTATGAAAGATGTAAGGATGGAGACTCATTATTTATCAGATAAAATAATTGACTGATGTCACTAGATTTGAATGACTGTATTAGGAGATCCACAGTTACAGAAGACATAGTAGTAAATACAGCTGAATTGATTTTTGTTGTTGCCCAATGTGAGATAAATTTTTTTGCTTATTTGCATTTTCTAAATTTCACAATGATCCTATATGAACTGTCTTTATTTTTACAAATAACTTTTAAATCTTATGAAAAACATCAATTAATATGATCATTTTCCAAAAGAGGAAAACAGCTCAGAGGAAGACAAAAAAAAAAAAAAAAAGTAGCAAAATGAGTAGGCCTTGGTTTCTCTGATTCCCACACTGGTATTTTTGGGTCTCTATCACACCTTCTAAGATGACAATTGACAAGACAAATTGGTTATGCCTCCAAAGAATTTAATGAGGACACTTAATGAGGGTCATAAAAATAAGGAACTAATTACCTGACACAGACACAATCTGAGTGATTTTTATTTAGTTTGGAACCTTGAGTCCATTTGTAACTTACCTGACTGGTACTTCTTCCTCATACTCCAAGCATACAGTTTATGCTCTCAGCTAAAAGTTAAGGTGTGTGTGCTTAAGGAATGGCTTTCTAGTTCACATGTCATTCTCTAGTGATTTACTTCCAGCCCCAGCCTTTTTCCAGGTTTGCTGTTGGGGAACTTGCCTCTCTCTGCTTCTATTTAGATATAAGCTTCTTCCTTATCGAGGCTTTTATCAGGGAGAAACCAAATCCCGCATACATGGCATAAACTAAGCAAAGCAGCTGGTTTTTAAATACTTTATTACTCTGACTTTAGTATCCTTAGTAGATGAATACAATCAGGTTAGCAATCTGGTTTGGCCACCAAAATATATATATATATAGATAGATAGATAGATAGATAGATAGATAGATAAACATTTCTGAATCTTCACAAAAACAGTGTGCACAGTGTGCAAACTAGAATGTTATGTTTTCACGTAAGAGTTACTACAAGCAGTGTAGTACATGTGGTAAGGGTTTATCACTGCTGCCCTACAGGCTCTAAACTGTAGAGGGGAGATGAAAGGAAACTTCAGAGGAAATTCCAAGGCAACTGCAGTCAAATATTATCCTGAAAACTGGTGGTGCAGAATAGCATTATATGAGAACTCAATTTTGCTTTAAAACTCAGGGTATTGAAGTCTACAATTTAATCTACACTTTCTTAACTTACAAGGAAATCATACCCATTTAATAACATTACCTCTATATTGATCCCCAGCTCAGCCTATTATTTGTAGCCTTATCAGAAAGCTTCGTATGAAGTGGTTGTTTTATTTCCTATTATGTTACTTAAAATCATACAACCCACTTTAATGATTGAGAGTGACATTTGTATATACAGTCACAGATTAATAGAAAGGTAAACTTGAATTTCTGAATTAAGAATGAAGCAAGGAGTTAAATGGCTTTGCTTTAAAGGGAAAAAAGCACAACCACATAATTATAAAAGGATGGTTTTTGTAACAAGCATGAACTTAATATAAACATACTAGTGCTTTAAGACCAAAGCCAACAGGCTTGACTTTTTAAGAAATGAGCGTATTTTAGTTCATTAAAGTATACTTTACAGTCTCTATGATGTGTCTGGCACTGATTCCAAACATATCCAGCAGTTCACTAGGCTTCCCACTTCGAGGCAATCCTGACACTGCCAGCTGATGAACAACGATGTCGGGCTCCGTGGAGACAGCTGCGCATACAGCTTCTCCAATGCCACCTTCTCTGTAGTGGTCCTCCACTGTGATAACCCGGCCGCCTGTGGCTTTTGCACTGGAGATGATAGTGGCAACATCCAGGGGTTTAATAGTAAATGGGTCAATGACACAAATAGAAATACCTTGCTGAGAAAGGTATTCAGCAGCTGCTAAGGCTTCGTGTAGAGTAACTCCAGCTCCAATAACTGTGACCTTGTCATTGTCACTGTGGCGGACCACTTTGGCCTGTCCAATCTCAAAATTTTCTTGTGGGGTATAAATAACTTCAGTTTCTGGTCGGCTGGTCCTAATGAAACACATTCCTTTAGTATTGGCAGCTAGATAAACAGCATGCTCGGTCGAGACAGCGTCACTTGGATAGAAAATAGTGCAATTGGGAATGCTTCGGAATATGGCTAGATCCTCTAGGGCCATCTGGGAGGGTCCATCTTCACCAATGGATACTCCACAGTGGGAACCAATAAGGTTGATATTGGTTTGAGAGATGGCTCCCATTCGGATCTGATCAAATGCTCGGGTGAAAAAGGCAGCGAAAGTACTAGCAAAAACAATGGTTCGACCACGTGTGGCACAGCCCACTGCCACACTTACCATGTTTTGCTCAGCAATGAAACACTCTATGAAACGCTCAGGGTGTTCTTTCTTGAATATCTCAGAAAAGGTGGAGTTCTTTGTATCACTATCCAGAACAATAACTCTTTCATTTTCACGGCCCAGTTTAGCCAGAGCCAAACCATATGCTTTCCGAGTAGCTATCTTGTTGCCAACTTTATAAGCAGGTGGAGAGTTCATTTTTATATTCGTGATGCTGATTTGAGGTGAGTCCTCCACAGGGGGTTTCCAAATGGGATCCCCACTGGTCTGTATCTGACTTTCAATTAATTTGATAATTGCATCTGCTCTTTCTTTTGGCAGTGGCTTTCCATGCCAATTTTCAGCATCCTCGATATTTGGAATACCTCGACCCTTGAAGGTCTTGGCAACTATAGCAGTAGGCTTGTTCTTCACTTGTGTTGCCTGCCAAAAGGCTTGGCACAATGCTTCCACATCATGGCCATCCACTAAGTAAGTGTTCCACCCAAAGGCTTCACAGCGATTCTGATAGATGTCTGTGCAGTGCTCAAGGGGCGCGGTACCACTCTGTCCCAAGCGGTTCACGTCGAAGACTGCCACGAGATTGTCCAACTTGTAGTGGGACGCAAAGGCCAACGCCTCCCAGACAGAGCCTTCCGAGGCCTCGCCGTCGCCCATGAGGCAGAACACGCGGTAGCTGGCCTTGTCGAAGTACTTGCCGGTATAAGCCATTCCACACGCTGCACCTAACCCCTGCCCAAGGGATCCTGTTGCCACGTCAACAAACCGCAGCCGAGGGGTGGGATGTCCCTCCAAGTCGCAGTGAATTGTCCTCAAGTTCAGCAAGTCGGACTCACTGATGCCACCCACCTCTGCCCAGGCAGCATAGAGCACCGGGGCAGCGTGGCCCTTGGAGAGCACAAATCGGTCGTTGTCAGGGTGTTGTGGGTCGGTCTGTTTATACCTCATCGTGTGGAAGAAGAGGACGGACACGATCTCCGCGGCGCTGCAGCACGACGTGGGGTGCCCGGAGCTGGAGGCACACGTGGCCCTGATAGAATGGACCCGCAGGCGGTTGGCTGCATCTCGCAGCGCCTGCACGGTTTTCGCGTCTGGCTTGGCGTTGTCGGCCATGGCTGCGCCCTAGTCGGTTCCGCTGGACAAAGCCGCTGGGACGCCCCTCAGTGGCTCCGTCACGTGACCACCGCGCGCTTGCCCAGTCGGGAGAAAAGAGATCAGCAACACGAGGGTCGAGTGCGCATGCGCCATGGCCTTCATCACCAGACTCTGGAGCCAAAAGACGGGCAGGGGGCGGGGCCACTTGCGTGTGTCACGCGCTCTGTTTCCCTCTGCGAGTGAACGGTCCGTCCTTCCTCTCTCCACCACCAACTGAGTGGATTTTTAGTATTTACTTTTGCACTTGCATATTTAGTGTTGTTAAAAAATAATTAAATTGTTATACTTTTCCTTGTTATAAATTCAAAAAAGGACATTTTTATATTCTTGTATTATAGGAAACTATTTCTGAGATTGCATTTTTTGTGCATTAACACTATATTTGGGGGGAAAAAAACTTATCTGAGGCGTCTTCACTCTTTTATATCAGAATGTTAATAAAAAAGATCCAAAGTCACTTTCATTCTACCCAATATGGTGACACTGATCTCCACAAAGACTTCCTCAGAGCAACTAAAAATTCGGAACCTTAGACTTATAAACAGAAATACAATAATTTGACCAAACTTTACAGGAAGAATAAATCTAAAACCATTCAATGGCAGAATATCCAGAACTGCAAATTTTGTAAGTGTATTCTGAAGTATTGTGTTAAAATAATTAGAGGCCATTGGGCTCAGGCAACTCCAGCTCCCTAGGTTCCTACCTAAGCAAAGGGAAACCCAACACAATGGAAATCATAAAATGAAAACTTAAGCTTAACCAATCATCAACCACCAACTAACTAGGGACTTTCCATTGAAGTAACCCAAATAAGGCTACTGTTCCACTTTAACCTTGGAAGCAAGGCAAAGAAAATAATTAAGCCACCTTCTCAGGCCCCTTCAATGGGAGCTGTCAATTCATGAATCACCCAAATAAACTCTTTAAGATTTTAATGTGCTTCACGTTATTTTCTGACAACTGTCATTGCAAATAACTTTTCAAACAAAATTAATTTACTTACTTTAGTTACAAAACTAAATTTGTGCCACTGAACAACTCTAGCAGGCAAAGGTTATAGCTTGTCATTAACTAAAATAAAAATACAATGAGAGTACATCATACTCTCCCATGCCGAAATGTTCAACATCTTGGTTCTTGAGTAATAATTCTTAATCTTGGCTTTACATTAAAATACAGACGCTTAAAAAAAAAAATCAATGGCTGGGTTCCACCCCAGACAGATTGAATTTTAATTTCTGAAACTATAGTCTTGGAAACTATTTTTAAAGTGCATCCAATCCATTGATTCTAATGTATGTTAAGGTTAAGAACAGATAATCTGAAGATAGACCAGTGGTTTGTAACGTTAGTTGTACTTTAGAATCATCTGGGGAATTTTTTAAAAATCTCATGTTTTTTCTGCACTCTAAACTGATTAAATCAGAATTTATGGGCAATGAGTCTAGGCATTAGTAATTTTTAAGTCTCCCCCATATGATTTCAATGTTCAGTCAGGGTTATAAACAACTAACCCAGGGAATGTTGCTACTCTTTATGTTTATTGTCTCTTGCATTATATCTTAGAAAAATGTTTTAAATATTATTTGCTATTTCAACTAGTTCTAGCATTTTAATTTTTAAGGACATATATTAAAATAAATGGTAATTGTATGACACTAACGAGATTTTAGGACTTGCTGAAGGAATGTTGGAGTTGGACAGGTCCTTAAGAGGTTAGCTTGTATTCATCACTCCCTTTGCATATTAACGTTTGCTTTTTTTTTAGACAAATAAAAGGAGAGAAAATACAACCAGGTTAGATTAGGAATGGGGATAAAAAAGATGGGAATTAGAGAAAAAAAATGATAGTGTCATAATGGCAAACTACTAGGGACTAACAGGAAAGTAGTTAATATAACCACAGATAGTTGACTATTATTTTGACTAAAGAGAGCTCTAATAAATCCACCGGTGAACATGATAGTATAAAAATGATCTGTGAGTCAGAGTTCACATGAAAAAAAGATGGGAAAAATAGGAACTACTTAACATTTCTTTCCAAGTTCCCAAATTCTTCATTTCATTTAAAGTATTGCACCATTATTTCCTAAAGGATTAAATAGAAAATTTTTAACACTAGTAAAGATCAATTTTGTTAAGAAAAGAATGTGATCTTAAGATATTTAATACCCTAGATCATGAGTGTGAATTTCCCTCTGTCATTCTGTAAGATTGTGTGGATTTTTTATACTATATAGAAAATATTTGATAAATTATTTGTAAAATATTTATAAAGTGCTCTGAATTTTTTAAGGTATGTCTGGAAAGTTATCAATTATTAATTCAATATCAATATCAATTATTAATAATTATTTTCTTTAAGCACTTTAATCCTCTAAAATATATTTTTATTTTATATACAATCGAAACTATATAAATACAGGTTGAGCATCCCAAATCTGAAAATTTGAAACTCAAAAAGCTCCAAAATCTGAAACTTGTTGAGTGCTAACATGTTGCACAAAGGAAATGCTCATTGGAGCATTTCAGATTTTTGGATTTGGGATGCTCAACTGGCAAGTATAATGCCAATATTCCAAAATCCAAAATATGAAATATTTCTGGTCCCAAACACTTCAAATAAGAAATATTCACCTTCTATAAAGTATGCATAACTTGTTAATGCAAAATCAACCATTGTGGCTATGTACACAATTTACTCAGATAAATCAAGCAAAGACATGATACCACCTCTATCTTCCATATATAAAAGAGGCTATTATTAACAAAAGGCCAGCCAAAAATTTTAAGTCAGCATACCAGAAATGTAGTTGTCTTGGAAAAGTTCATTATTCATTTACAGGTTATTTTAGAAGTCAAGAAAGTTTTCTGCAAATAGGAAAAAATTATTTGTTTATTAATTTTGGTTTATCCACATGAAGTAAGGATTGGCAAATTCAAGTGCCTACTGGAGGTATTATGAGTGCATAAATGTCAAGTATAATAAAAGAGGGCTGCAGACTCGAGAATATAAGCTCACCTAAAGGCATTCAAAATTCAAAAACTTGTAAACGTTTTGTTGGACAAATAAAACTTACCATCAGTCTGCCAATTTTCACCTCTGATTTAAAGTGTATTTAAAAAACAACAATTTTTTGTTTTGTTTTTGTTTAGATTCTTTCACTCTAATTGTTTTCTGATAGAAAAATATTTATTGTAATGTGTACTATAAATGGAAATAACACCTAGCAAGTTCACTAATACAAGTAGCTATGGAGGGAACAATATAAACAGCAGGAATTGATAAGTGCAATTTCTGCTGGGCTACAGGGAAGGAAAAGCTCACAGTTACTGATTACTGCAACAATTTGGAAAAAATATGCATTTCACTATGTGAGGGTGAATAACATTTAGAAGTTGGGAACACTGAAGTTTTACTTATATTAATATCTTATCTAAACTTCTGAGTTTTGTGAAAATGGAATTATATAAAAGACACAAATGCTGCATTCATTTCTTGCTTCCATTGTTTAAATTTGGTTGGCTTTGTGGGTAAAGTATGGAGCAAGTGAGAATAAGACTCTTGTGTAAGGCAATTAATTTCCTGGAAAAAAAATGTGTTTTACCTTCCTGGATAATTGTTTTGAAAATTATGGGAGATGTGATAGCCTATCCTACTTTGTCTATAGTCCTTATTTTGAGGTGAGGGGTGGAGGGGGAAAAGACAAAGGCAGCAACATATATAGGAAATTTGGTCTACCTCCCAGTCCCAGGGGATAATCATAATTGATCTAAGACCAGTATCAGAATACCATTCCTCTTTGCTAGGAACCGAGGTCAGCATGTATTCCAGTTCTGGTTAATAAGATGTAAGCGGAATTCTGCTTCGGGTGGGACTAATTCTTATAAATGATTTTCTTCCTGGTAAACAGGAGTAGGTACAAAGAGAACTGTGGTGTCTCCTTTTTGTCCTCCTATCACTGCCACCACCACCAGAGCATGTGATGTTGGAGCCACTGCAGCCATCTTGTTACTATAATGCAACAAGCCTTAGAATGAAAGTTAACATGCTTAGTATGGTGGCATAGAAGGATAGAGCATTTGAATCCTTCATAACTTTGTAGATCCACAACCAGCCTTGGATCCAGATTCTTACAGACTTCTTGTTAAGAAAACACTGAATGCCCTGAGTGTTCAGCCAGGCCCCACTACTCTGGCTGGTTAGGATTCAAATGTTTCTCAACCCTGTGTGAGCTCTGGGAACTGTTTGGGTATTATCAGTCCCAAGGTGTCATTTGCCTGGCCTTGTAGAGGTTTACCTTAAGCAAGAGTATCCCTTTAAAGGTTTCTGGAGATCTTTGTCCAGGTTGTTTTCTGCTTGTGATTATTCTGCCTTCAAAATGCTAGCCAACATAGTCTTCCTGAGCTCCAATCTCTGTTCTCTCATCTACACAAGACTACCATGGGTTGTATCAGATGCTCTTCCCTGTAGCGCCGTAGGGGAAGTGTCTCCAGGGAGAAAGCCAGAAAAATGACATGTTTTCCCTCTTTCAGAGATCATAGTCCTGTGCCGCCTTTTTCTTGCTTATGCAAACCGTTGCCTTTGTATAGTTTTCTAGTTGGAGGGTAAATCTCATTCCAGCTACTCTACCATAACCTCATAACAGTATTTAGAAAGTTTTGTTACCGGGCATGGTGGTTCATGCCTGTAATCACATTTCTTGGGAGGCTTGAGCCCAGCAGTTTGAGATCATCCTGAGCAACATAGATGTTGTCTAAAAACAAAAAGAAAAATTTTGAATGTTTATACCTTATATTGAGCATATATTCTTCAGATAATTACAGCACAACCAGCACTACTTCTTATGTCTAAGACCCCTCTGACTCAAACATTTTCATTACCACTCTGACTTTAGAAAACTTTGGAGATTGGAATTCCTAACTACACCAATTATTATCTTTCTGTTATCATTTTTAAAAGATAGCACCCATGGTCTATTGAATTTTTACTTGTTAAGAACTATCAAAAATTCCACTGTTATGTTTAAAT